TTTTTTTTTTTAATTAGTTCATGTTAAGCGTGCTTTTCTCAGAGTTAACAATGACTCGGAGTGTCTAGAGCACTCAGAATTGTAAGAGTCAAGATGTAGGCTTCGCTTTTATATTAAACAATTAGATTTTGAGCTCGAGATTTTTATCGCGTGATAGTTGACTCGGGCTGCGCCCTCGTCAGCTATCACGCGATAGAAATCGAGAGCGAACAACCTAATTGTTTTAGCATAAATCTACTAGTCGTTCAAGACTTAATCTAAATCCTCTTCACAGACACTTCGAAAACGCCAAGAAGCGGCCGTCATTTTATTAACAAGCGCACACCGCTACGCTACTCGCTATCTATCACAGAATAGATAGTGAGTAACGTAGACAATCAGAGAACGGCATTCGTGATAGAATGCTAGTAAATTTATACTAAACTCGATGTACGCGCAGTTTAATTAAGTTATGATCCACATTCTTTTTCGGTAACTTGAATGTAATTTTAATCTTTGTTTACCAGTTAAGTTTATTTAGTAGGACGTCACAACTCGGTGTTAAGTTAAGATCCGCCCTGGTCAATTATGAATAGTCTTCTTGTAGTTCTCACGCTTACCATGTAACTCTTTCTTCTGGTCGTGGTTACCTTTCGGTCTCTGAATTTGTCGCTATTCGCACCTCCTCTCTATCTTACAGTATCTCTCTTGGATTGCAACTGGAACAGGAGTCCTTTTTGCAACCATTTTCTACATTGGGACAAAAGAACCTCGCAAGACACGTGAACGAAAACCTAGCGCATATGTTGATATGGTACGTAAAGACAGCCTTACTAGATTATCGATCATCTTCAAGGATCAAGGTAAATAAACCGACTTAACCAAATGTGAAAAAGCTGCGCCGACGCTTTAGCATGCAAATCAAAAAGCACGGTACATTTTGAGAGGCGCATTAGCTTGATGCTTAGTACTATTGCGTTCGAATCCAAATTGAGCGAGCCTTGTTCGAGCCTTTCGGGTCACTTTTTTGTGTAGGATTGGTCTTGGGCAAAGCACTTTACTCTCACATTCAGTCTCTCTGTACCCAGGTGTATAAATGGGTAACGGCGAATTTAATGCAGGGCGTAACTAACATCCCATCCAGAGAAAGTCGAAATATTCAGAGTGGCTTGATGCTACGGGTACAAAAAATACTGCTGCGGCATGAGACACTTGGCCCGAGGTGATACAGACTTTTCCTATCGCTAGGATATGCCTTAACCTCCGAAGCCATATGGTCTTTCTGAGCTATGTATAGCTACGCTACATTTAGAATGTGCCTCAGTATTAAAATAAGTTTGGTACTGTGAACGTGTATTGACAACATTAAAACTGTGCTTACGATTTCATTTCTTTTAGAGTGTTGGCGGATTATTCATGCTAGCGTTTGAAGAGGAAAACCAAAGTAAGTCTAAACATAATGATGGTAACATGTAAACATGGATTTCAAGCGTTCAATTTATGTTTGTATTGGTGTTTTTTTTATTGTTAAACGGTAACCATCAACAATAATGAAACTTTGGTTCTCCCACCAAACTGTATTTAAACGTTATCGAGGAAAATTGTTGGCCCTTCCGGCTTTTGATGTGACGGACCACACTGCTCTATCCAAATTGTGAGATTTTTGTTTGAAATATTTTTGGAGGGTTTTTTTTTGCAAGTTTAGTCTTATTTCCACTTTTTTGAAACTATGTATGAGAATTTCGACAAAGGACTGCTACGATACTGAGATGAAAGAGAAATACCACTTCACACCCAGTCACTATCTGATTGGCTGCAAAAATAGAAGAAAAAGAAAGATCCTCGACGAAAACAACCGCCAACCATTACAAGCCAGAATACCATGGCAAGCCAGAATACCACGGGTTCTACCAAGAGAGGATAAATGGTAACATAGTTAACCCTGCATAGACTAGTTATTCATGAGATAATCCCTGTCGAGGTATATTTAGATCCCTCCCGGCATCAGAAATCCCAAAAAGGGTGTAGAAATAGCTAATCCTGTGACGCGAATTTTACTCACGTGGACAGCCCACGAAATGTGCGTGGTAGCATCATCTGAGGGAGGACTGGATGTCACATCTGAAAATATCTTGAGAGGGCCTGACTTGAGTATAAGGCCTATATGGGGTATTAACTCTTTACCTTTCATCCTCTCTTGGTTCTGTTTATGCGATACATATCGGCCAACAAATTTCACATGACATCACCTCAGGGCCAGCCACAGAGGTGTCCCAAGACAATGAAACCGCGGCTATGTTTGTGTACCAAACCAATCCTGTGGGAGTTGAACTCTTCTCATATGTAAACGCTTTGCTTCATTCCAACACATTTGCATGGCTGGTTTCCACGCGAGTGAAAACGCTTTATAGGAGTAGCGAAGTCTATTTTTTTATAGACTTATTGTTGATTTTCCCCTGAGAGTTTGGGGAAACTATGAACAGAGGTTAATGAATGCAATATTTTTTCTTCTTTTTTTGTTCTCTCTATATAAGGCTCACGAAAAAACAGTCTTGCTCGTTCAATCATTGACATGTTTGTGACTTCGTCGAATGAAAAATCAGACCAGGAGGAAAAACGACATCAAGACACAGAAGATCATGAAAATCGTCGGAGGAAAAGAAGCGTACTGCAGAAATTTGTTGAAGTTTTATTTTACGACGAGGAAGACGAGATTGATCAAAGTTCATCACAAACTGAGACTGAGAAATCATCTCAGGAAGATCCACAAAGCGAGGGCACAAGGAAGCAAATGATTCTAGGACTACAGAAGTTAGACCGTGATCGTAAAAAGAGCTTGTTAGTGCGTGTTATTGACGGACTGCTATCTAGATCAGACCACATCCAACCAGAAGAGATGTCAACTGAGAGCATCGAAAACCACTTTGCAGTCGACATTGGAAATGATGAATATACAACTGGTGAAAACTACTGGAGACAAGAAAGTCTCCAGGACAATCAAAGAGAAGACTACCGGGAAAACAACAAAGAAGTAGATTCAGTTCACAGAGAAATAGAAATTGACGAAGAAGACAAGCCTACATTGTTTCCAGCCAAATGTAGACAACGAAAGAGCGGAATCGTGTCGGTTCCAATTGAGGGACAACTAGGTCTACCAAACTTTGGTTTTGAAGAAGAAGGAAGTGAAGAAATACAGGAAAAATGCTCCAGCGATACTTCAGGCCTTCGAAGGCAAAAAAAATCTGTCACTTTCAGCTTGTCGGAATTGCCTGTCCAGCCATTAACGAACGGAAATGGGGGAAACGATGTCAAACTGGATGCGTCCGATGAGAAGCTGCCGACCGTCACAAAAAGAAGTCAGGAGGAAGATGAAGAAACTGAATCTGTTGAGGATAGCTGCAATCCTTCAGCTTCAGAAGATAAACAGGAAGTGCTTGGTCTTCCTGTTTCATCACCAATTCATCCAGTGAAGAAAACACGTCCTAAAACAATCAAACACTGGCTGAGAAACCCAAACTTGTATAAGGTTTGTTTACATAAATTTTGTGGTAGCTTTTAATCAAAAATGGTAACATTAAATTTTCCCATACCATGAGAAACAGAATGATAGTATAATGCAGAAGCACAAAGAACTCAGTCGACTATAAATATACTGATGTTATTTGCCGGCTGGGAGGTCCGTATCTGACTTGTGCAAAACTGAGACCGAGGTCGATCTTGAAAATGCAACCCGTGACTGCAGGCCTCGGGCAACATTTTCAATTCCGAGGTTACAGTTTTTCACTGTAAGGAACGACCTTAAGCCGGTAAATAACTTATTTATTTTTTCCTCTCACTCTCAAAACACTTTTATAATTGTTGACCTTCTCGAAACGCACAGACATCGCGCCCCGTTACCGTGACCGTGGGCAGAGATAGGAAAATGCGGACCGCGCTAAGAACCAATCTATCTATCTATCTATCTATCTATCTATCTATCTATCTATCTATCTGGAACATGAATTATGCTATGTTCGTTGGCCCCATTACAGCCTCTCTGAAAATACCAGGCCTCGAGAAATAGTCTCGTGATAATCATCATGAGCCTTAGCTTGTCCACAATGGCGGTGCGGTTAAAATCTTCGTCATGGACAAGTTGATTCCCACGATATTTGCTCTCAAGGAAACCAGTTTTACAAGTTACTTGTAGTCCTCTTAGTTATTCCGAGCACGCGCAAAGTACGTTATAATTAAGAACAAGCTGTCCGTTAAGAACAAGCTAGTTATTATGATTTTTAATTCTAGAATGGAAAACGTTGGAGTGGCATATTAGCATCGCTGTACATCTTACTCGTCATTTGTACTTTTTCTCGTCCTACGGGCTCGCGCCTATAAGCTGCAAGACTCGTTAAGACATTCAACGATAACAGACACTAAAATGTCACTAAAAGATATATTTATTGGTATTGTTTGTAGGTAGGGATTATCTTCACCTGTTCACGCCTTGCAAGAAACACAGTTTTCACATATTTACCACTGTTTCTCACAGAAAGACTAAACTTTGCAAAGGTAAATATTGTATCAGTTTCTAGTAATTTATTTCCTATACTGTATACTTGTCGTTTGGGAAGGGTGTTCTTTTAAAACAAAATTCCCGCAGGGTTTCTTCTAGCAGCAGCAACTATCCATTGTCTGACATATTTTTAATCTGATTAATCAGAGCAATGTAACTCATTACTTTTCTGAAATATGGTACATGCTAATATAGATTGATTATGGAATAACAAATTTTTCCTTAACTTTCCGATTCAGCAAACCATAGCCCCTTCGTTTATATGTCTGGACGTTAAGAACAAGTTAGTTTCATTTTGGTGAACATCACCGAGTTGTCTTATTTTGTCGTTTGCCCTTTAGGAAGCCATTGCGTATTTTCCATTGGTTCTTATGATAAGTGCAGCTTTCTCAAGCATCGTTTGCGAAAAACTGAACAGGAAGATTGGAAGCAAGGTAATTGCATGACGTAAATATCTATTAAAAGTGATTTCTTTCTCTCACAAGCCAGGAGTGTGTCTGAAATTAACCATCCAACGTCTGGCGTGGCTACTGGTGTATTACTACATCTGCGTGGAATGGTAGTCAATCATATGTCATTTACTCCATGATATTTTACCCATTTCATTTTCCGCTTATTCACTGACGTGGGTTGGGGAAGGTGTGTCGAGGGAGGAAAATACGAAAGCTTTTTTTATTTTTAATTGGAAGCTCACAAGGCTCAAACCGTGGGGAAGCTGAGAGGAGCTTTCCTCGTAACAACAAATTGCGTCACTTGTCATCGAGGTTGTCAGGCAATCACTAGTCAGCTCAAATTCAAGGTTGTGTCAGTTGCCAGTAAAACCATCTAGATAATCTTAACAGGAGAGTAATACATACTGAAAAGAACTTAATAACAAGTCAAGAATATAATAATAATCCCCAACGACAGGAAAATTTATGAGTAGGAATCCTCGCAGTCCGACAACGGTTTCAAGCCTACAGAGTTTTTTTCTTTCAACTCTACACTTTGTTTGCTCTTGCAGTGGAGTTACCTTCTGGCAGCTTCCCTTGTGATAGGCGGTGTCGTTTGGAGTTATTTTCAAACTCCCTCCATCAGGAAAGCCACCTATGCACCAGTCATAATAATGGGATTTGGCATGTCCGTTATGTATGTAATGGCGCTGGCTTTCATCACTGAATTGATAGGAGAAAACAAGGTTTGTGATTGGGGAAACATGGTTAATTTTGCAAATGTTTGTTCCGTAGCATACGAAAAATCAAATTTTTTTAAACAAAGTACTTTGTTTTATCATCTCTATCACTGCTGCTCGTGTTAAGTAGATAAGTTAAGGGGAGCAGAGATAGCGCAGTGGTGAGAAGGCTCGCCTCCCACTCATTGTGGCCTGGGTTCGATTCGGGCCCGGTGCCATATCTGGGGTGTTTGGGGGAGGGTATGGAGCGGTAGTACCTTAACAGCGATGCGGTCGCATCTGCCAGCAACTGGGAGATGGCTGAGCTTTACTGGTCCACACATATGACCGTATGGCTCCTAGTAATCACCCAAGACATGATGACAGCCACACCCCGGACAACGGCATGGACCTGCCGGCTAAACTACGTGCGGGTCGCCAAATTCCATCGGTGAAAAGAAACATCTCCCCATATTATGAAATATCTCCCCTGTCTAGACAAAACCTAACCCCAGCATGGCGACGTGGTCTTTCAAGGGTATGGGGCTCTGGTGAAGCTGGAAGAGCCAACCCCCCATTCAGTGGATTTAACTGGTTACAGAAACGTCCAATGTTGCTATCACCACCACCGTGCCAGCACAGGTACAGGAGGTGGTGGTAGATTTTGCTCACTCGCCGAATCGTTTCAGAACGAGGCGAAGAATGATCCGGTGGCCGATAAATAAGTTGCTCTCCGCTAAATACCGGACTAGCCAAGCCATATCTGGGAAGAGTTTGATGTTGGCTCTTCCCTTGCCTCGAGGGTTTTTCTCCAGGTTCTCCAGTTTCCTCCCTCCACGAAAAGCCAACATCTCTAAATTCCAATTGTACCAGTATAGAGACTGTGATGGCCGCTGAATAAGAGTTTGTATGATAAGAATTGTAAATATAGTTGGTATCTAGCATATACCTCGAAGAGGTTGTTTTCATTTCTTGATATTCGAATTAAGTATGGCTTGTGGCCACAAGTATTTTCTCGATAAGTAATCAATGACATCAATGACCAGATATATACAATCAATCGATGAACATTTTGCGGCCTATCTCTTTTACAGGACAGCAGTGGTCTAGTGATTTCTATTATAACTGTAATCGCTAGAGTCTCAAGCGGTGGCTTAGTGATCGGCATACAAAGCTTTTATCCGGAAAAAGAGTAAGTACATCTATCCACTCACCTACTCCTGTACATAACATTTACCAAACAGTTTGCTATGGAGGACCTAAAATAGAACTGGATAAGGGTGCTAAAAAACCGTTGTATAAAACTTACGTTAGGTAATTAAACAGTGTGTTTAGGGTATGTACAGTAATTATCATGCAGTTGAAAAATTTAGAAATATAAGGAAAATATTTTTGTAGAATATCTTTTTAGCTGCAAAAATCTCGGTAAAAACGTATTGCTCTATTTTCCAGATTTTCCTAACATACTCGAACGGCACTAAGTACATGGAAAGCTTTACAAAAGTGTGTTTATTCTGGTAATAAGTATATCTTTTTGGTAAATGTGGTATAGTGGTTAATCTAATATAAGCCCATGGGTATACATTTCGCCGAGGGGTGCAATATCAAAAATATTTCTGTGTCTAGGATAGAGGAGATTATTTCCGTCTATTAAATGAGTTAAAGTATACATCGAGAATTGTAAAGGATAAAAACAAACTACATAGCTTCAAAATTGATCGTTGACCAGGCTTTCTTGCATGATAAATGATAACCCACCTTTTTCCTCTCTCTCTCCTATCGTAGCTCGAACTCGAATGGAGCGATTAGCAATTATGTACAACACGTCTTTGTAATGGCGCCTGGGATATTAACTCTGGTTGGATCCTTGCTGGTTTTGTCGTTACAACCTTCAGTGTTGGCTTGCAATACTAAAGGTTGGTGTTTGAAAAAAAGAAAATTGCAGTGCAATATTACTTACAGATCAGAATAAAAATAGCACGGAAGGTCAGCTACCCCACAAACAAAGAATCCATACTCTAGTATGGGGGAAGCGCGGTGGCCTGATGTCTAGTGCCTTGTGCTCTAAATCGAGTGGTCAGCGTTCGAAGCCGGCCGTGGTCATTGTGTTGTGATCTTGGGCAAGACACTGCTTTGACGATGCACCTCTCCACCCGAGTAAATGGGTGCCAGTTACTGGCGCTAACCCTGGGACGGACTAGCATCCCATCCAGAGGGGGCTGTAGCAATATGCGTAGCCGCTACATGTTACGGAAATCCTGAGATGAGCGACGTCCTGGTGTACCATTCGGCTCAAACACACTTTAACTACCTTAGCTACCTTTTACCTCACCATGCTAGTTTAGAATGATTAGATAAATAAACTCCCAATCGAAATTATGCCTCGTACATGAATTAAATTCGATCGAAACCTCTTCGCAGTTTTTGGAAATGGAATAGCGCCTAAGTGCTGAGTGGAGGACAGTCTCTACATTTCCAGCCTCATTGTATTTGAAGTTAGTGTTGGCAAAGATTTGGGTAGAAATTGATGTCAAATTTAGTTAGTGTTGGATAAATTGATTTCACCTGTAGAAATTACTTGTACAGGTCTCAAATTCTGTCACCAAAATAAGCTCCCTTTCTTGCTGCTACTAACAATTAGTATTAATTGTTCACTCATTTAAAAACCTCTGAACTTTTACTGTGTGATAACGCCGTCTCTGCTTATTGTTTGCTTTTATAGCACTAAACGAGAACACGGAAATTCAGGCAGGCGAAGACAAATCTGTATCTGATGAGGTTACTCCGCAGTCTTCGTCCAATCATACAGCAACACCAAACGTTTCCCAAGAAGTCAACCAAAATACTACCACTATGGTTTTGATGCATTCTTTTCCTCAGGATACCAAACTTTAGACGTCTATGTGTCGTATTCATTGTGCATAATTTACTACATGACTTAAATGTGTTATGTTTATATCCAAATCCGTCCTTATCGACTGCACTACTGAGGATTGATTTCTTATGACGATACTTGGGACTTATTTTACTTTCTCATCGTCAAGGTACAAAAAGTACCCCTACCTGGTTTTAAATGGTGTTCTACCTTGCCGCAGAACCAGATTTTGTAATGCACTCTTGGAAAACTTCTATGTATGTTACACTGTAATGTCACAAACCTGTACGTACGTGCGTAAGTACGTTGGAAGAGCGGAGATACTGGAAATACAAATATGTTCAGTTTCTTTGAAGCTTGCTCTCTCATTTCTGTTCTTATAAAGAAGGTAGTTGCCTGCCAGCTATAACAAAAAATTGGGAGCTTAAATCGTGTGGCTACCGTATCGAGGAAAATCAGGTGAATAAAGAACACATTGTAACGGTTAGTTTTTTTTATTGATCCTCAATTATTGGCCTGATTATTGGCTGATCAAAAAAAAAAAAAGAATTTACTGTTTGACTCTTTTCATTACGTATTCCTCGCAGGATAATTACGCACGATGGACCTTTCTATCGATGTTACGCGGTATCACTGAACAATTTTGCGCATTTTTCATCATTTAATGAAGTAGAGCGTAATGTCGTGATTATTTCAAAGATGGACATATGGACATTTCAAGTTTGTCAAGCGTTTAAGGATCCAACAGAGCAAATTTTAACTTTATCTCATTGCGAAAAAATA